CAGGTAGTGTGCGGCAGTGCACTTTCACGCCCTAATGTTCTCCAAAAGCTCTGCACCGTGCAGCTGTCGGAAAGTCGCACAGACAAGAGCTCCATGGGAGCATTAGAGCATGCAGGGTATTATAAGTCTCACTTCATCCATTATTATCATTGATACACGGACGACGTTTTTGCTCGACAGCATTGATCAAGATCACAATAGCCAAAAATTTTGTTAGAACGTAGTGCAAAAACATGGTCTGTCTTCGATGATCGAACATTCCTGAAATCCCAAGGAGAACAAAGTGTAGAGCAGTTCATGGGGAAGTGAAACAAGAGTACCATATAACAGTACAATGCAACTCAATCACGATACTAACACCTTCTTCAGGAAAATGGAGGACTTTCAAATGCGAGTGCGACTTTTATCCACAGACAGGTGCACGGCGTATACCCGAGCAGGCGTTTCCCACGAAAAACGCCTTCTGTCAGCGGCCGTAAGCAGACAAACTTCCTCAAGAAAATTTTGATGCTTTTAAATCAAATCTAAGCGGAACAAAATGTAGCGAACTTGCTGAATTGAATTTCAAAGACCCCTTATGAAATTGAAGCAGAAGAAAGAATTCCATGAAAAGTTAACGCTAGTAATAAAGTACTCTTCGCGTAGATTCTAACGGTCTTTACCGCTTCTCATTTTATGAAGTTTGAAGGAAGTTATGGGTTCTTGAATATTGCAATGTCGCGGTTCAGAAGAAAGGCTTGAAAAAAGTCTATGAAAAATAAACGGAACGACGGGACTATTTTTTGAACGAGTGATTTTTCAAAAAAGTTTCAGCCCTTATTCGAAAGCTCTAATCTTCTAGTTTCTAATTAGCCTTAGACATTCGCAAAAAGTTGAATACGAAGAAGAAAGTTATAAATGCTTTAATGTCGGAAACTCGCGCTTTCTCAAAAATCGGACCCCCAACCCCCCCCCCCCCAAGAACGGACGGGACTATTTTTTGAAAAGAATGATCGCTGGAAAATTTTCAGGTGCTTGTTTGAAAGCGCTAATCTTCTAGTTTCTAATTAGCCTTAGACATTTGCAAAAAGTTAATTATGAAGAAAGTTATGAATGTTTGAATGTCGAAAACTCGCGTGTGCACAAAAAACGGAACGACGGGACGATTTTTTTAAATATTGAACATCCGCAACATTTCAAATGTTACAAGAAAACTATTTGTACTTTTAAAATTTTGGTGTCCGGTTCCATGAAAACGCCTGTGGACGAAGATATAAGCTTTCAAGAAGGCGCCCGTAACTATTGGAGATTTAGATTTTCCAGCTTCTACAAGAAACACGGTTGGACGTTGACGGAAATCTTGGCACATACCTGAAATTAGAGACCACTAGGAACATAACGGTACCTAGCCTTGTCGCCCTCTTGCAGCCCCGTCCCTCTGTATGCGACCCCCCTTTCGTTCGGCGGAATGCGACCCTCCTCGTTGTTCTTTGCGCAACGTAGGGTTGACCCTGGGCGTGGGACCGCAGCCTCACTCTCCCTCGTCCTCAATCTTTGCTTAGGAATCTTGATGGTAGAAATCAAGATATTAGCTTCAAAAATAAGTACTAAACAATAGATTATTTGCTGCATTGATTTCTTATCACCTTCAGGTATTACTCCTACTTCATATACGAAAGCGCTTGAAAACAGCTATGTTATCAAGGAAATGAAAGCAACTCGCAACGTACGACCTTCATTTAACACAGGAATAGGTAGTTTTCATATTAGGTCATCCTTCTGTTAAAATTTTTATTCAAACTGTTTCACAGGGTGGCTGGGCGGTTTGATGTACTCTGGAATGTTCTACGTATTAGGGCGTGGGAAGGAGCCTTGGACCCTCCAACACGGCAAGAAGGACAATGAAAAGTTGAAGAAGAAAGAGGAATGTAAGGTGCGTATTAATGCGTTAAACTTCATATCTACTCTGCTTTTTACATCACAGTATTAATGCCTTTTCAGCCGATAGAGTATCCCAAGCCGGATAACAAAATTACATTTGACTTATTGTCGTCCGTTCCGCTTACGAGGACTATTCACGAAGAAAACCAGCCGTCCCATCTCACGCTGAAAGACGATGAGGTTCCGGAGAAAATCAATCTCAAACTTTACGATGGCCCCGAACAACGATTCTGTCCCGCTGGTTAGTTGCTTCATACGGTGAACAGGTCCTTTATACTGTTTGGACGTAATCACTTACTCTCACTTGTTTCAGGTGTCTACGAATATGTTCCTCAAGAAAACAACCCGTCGGAAATGCGCTTACAGATCAATGCTGCAAACTGTATTCATTGCAAAGTTTGTGATATCAAAGATCCCACCCAAAACATCAACTGGGTAACGCCTGAGGGAGGAGAAGGGCCTAAATATTCAGGAATGTGAATTTTTCAAACTTTTGTTTATACCATACCACCAGCGGTGAACGCAAGTCACAATCAACCATTTTGCTTCGTTTTATCTCACAGCTAACACTTGGCACAATACCTCACTCCATATTTACCAATCTTTTTTACTGTGCTCACGTTTTAATCGAGGAACTAGTAACCATTTTTCTAATTTGTGCAGTGCAGCATTTTGCATGAACGTCGTCTCCAAATTTTTATGTTCACAAGGGGTTCGCGTTTGATATACAGGGGGGGGGCAAAAAAAGAGTCACTTCTCTCCACATTCAAAACGGAATTAATACAAACTGCGAAACCAAACCAAATGAGCCCAATTGCATATTAAAGAGCACATTCTAATCTATCAAAGTTACATGACAGCCTTCTACACCGACGACATCAGAAGATTTTCCCACGGAAACATGGTTCACGGTACGAGCTCAACGAGGTCGTCGAGGTACCATAGACCATTACGACGTCCCTGAAACGCTGGTCAAAAGCGGTCTTGCATAGTCACAGCTAGTGTCTCTGAGAAGCTATTCACCAGTTAACCGATTGAAGAAATTATGTAGCAGCTTCAGGCCGGAGCGATTACGGTAAGCCTCGTTGAGCTCGACGGTGACGGCAGATGACGTCATATTCTGAAGACGGTGAGGGCAGTGAAGGAGGGGCTGCTTCTGCTTATGGGGGACACCTAAGGAATATTCTGCCGTAAAACATTCATTAGCTGCGGCATTCTGTGCGAAGAAAAATTTGATGATGTGCGCCATAGGCAAAGTGACTTTTTTTTGCCCCCCCCCTGTAGTACGACTGACTTTTTACGTTCTACCTGTGAGAATTGCATTAGATGTGTAAATTGTAATAATAAAATATTTATTTGTGTGAATAGGATCACCGGAAGGGTTTCAATACTCAATATTTTGTCCCTGTGAGAGAATAGCGGAAGCACCGAGTCCTCCAACCAGGTCAGATCGTCGGCTAGGGCCTCGGCTTGAAGGCACGCTCCGCGATAAATTCACAAGATTAATCCCGGGTTAGATGAAACTGTCCACCAAAGTATCAAACATGCCTGTCTAGAAAAGGCGCAGCAAACAGTCTAGAACCTTCGTTTATCCGCATAAAAACCCCTTTACCCTCAACTGCGCCTACACTGGTGATGTGCTGTTCTCTGAGCTCTAGCTTGCATCTCTCTCTGTGGTAATCATTTCTCCTCTCAACGCGCACTGTCTTTTACAGTCACTGCGTTGGCGTCCGGCTGCCTCGTAGTTTCGTCGGCGACCGCTGGCATACGACCAAGCCCTCATTTTGTTTTCAGTTGTTTCCATTTTTCTTTCACCACTGATGATAAATGCTAGGTACATCGTACCACCCCCACCCTTTCATTTCACCCCTTCCTGATTTTTTCTCGGGCGAATTATCGCGGCCATTTTATCGTGGGGCGTGCCTTAAAGGAGGATTGCACGGAAAGAACGAAGGTCGAAGAAGGGAGAAATCGCCTAGTGGGGAGAGCGGTGAATCTCTTGAGGGTGCGGACAGACACGCAATCGGCATCGAAAGATTTGACCTCTGAGATCTAGCATGGCTCAAAGTTGGCGAGTTCGGCGATCTCCGCCCACCGATCGTCTGATCACTCGCCGTAGTACAATAGGTGGCGAGTGATTAGATAGCTGAGAGAGCGTAGGGTTGAAGAGGGCAAAGCGATGAGAGTCCCATCAATGCTCAAATCAACGGACAAGGAAGGGGTCCCATTTCTCCGGTTCTGGGCCGTTTTTCGTGGTTTCGCTTTCTTTCTGGTACTACTCACCATCTCTACCTCAATTTGGAATGGGTTGCTTTTCCATCGTAAATTCGTCCTTTAAGCTTAGATCTAGGCTCGGGTTTACGCTTGCTAGGACCACTTCAGTGGCGACCTGACCTACGGAAGAAATGATGCAACCGAAAGAAGCTCAGGTCCTAAGCATGTCAAAATGCGGATTCATAAAGGTGTATATAGAAGACAAGATAGTAGGAAGGAAGAACATCAGTAAGAAACAACAATGGTGGATTCGCTCAGACTAACACAGTAAGTATTGGAAGTACACTGGTCGTATCGAAATTGAAGAACACCTTTCAGTTTATCATAGATCTTCACAACAGCCTTCTATAGCAAAGACTTCAGAAAGAAGGAAGAACCATGAGAAACGGCCCAGAACCCGAGAAATGGGACCCCTTCCTTGCCCGTTGATTTGAGCATTGATGCGACTCTCATCGCTGTGCCCTCTTCAACACTACGCTCTCTCAGCTATCTAATCACTCGCCACGTATTGAACTACGGCGAGTGATCAGATGATCGGTGGGCGGAGATCGCCGGACCCGCCAGCTTTGAGGCATGATAGGTCGCCGAGGTCAAATTTTTCCATGCGAATTGCGCGTCAGTTCGCACCCTCAGGAGGTCCGTGGGTCCCTCAACTAGGTCAGTTTCCCTTTCTTCGACCTTCATTCTAATCGTGAATTCCTCCTTTAAAGGGATGTTTTCGAAGGAACGTCATAACATAGGGGCCTGTTCGAAGGGCTCTAAAAAGACGATCGAAACGAATATTGAGGACGAAGTCGGCCAAGTTGGATAGCAAGAACGAAAACGCGCTCACCTTGAATGGCTGCAATAGTGCCGGGCAAGAGACCAGCAGTGCTACCCTCTGCATTTCCTGAAAGGAGCAGTACGTTTCGAGACGAACGAACATTTCGATGGAAAAAAAAAACTCAGATGACCTTTTTTCAAGAAATGAGCAGCAATTTTACGTCCGAAATTATTCTGCCAAAATTGCTACGAAGCTGGCACTTCAAGGCATTATTGAGCTTTTTGAAGAAAAAGTCCCAAGGTTGAAAATGAAATGCGAAATCGATAATGTTCCGAGGTGAGGGAATGAATTAGAGAAATGCCAGAAACAACTGATAAGACTGACGCTGTGATAAACGTCTGCGGCAAATTTGGTTGTAAGACATGCTTGCCGTGTCCTTTCATGATAGGTAGCCGTTTTCTATTTACACGGGTTCAAACAGACAGAATTTTGATAAAAATCCCAAAAGGCCTTCTATGAGGAGTGTGTCTGTGTTCCGCCGGGTAAGTCTCAGATTAGTCGATTTGACCTAACACGTTCGTCATCAAGAGAGCGTCGTTGATATAGTCAGCAATTGAAATAAACCGGTTTTCAAGACGTCACAGCACGAACTTACTTTGGAGTTATTAGTGCAGAAAATGAATTTTTTAGGCGACCGCCGTCAGGTTCTTCAAGGGCCAGAACTCTTTGAAGACAGGACCCTACTAAAAATCACTTCAGCAATGATCAATTTCCAACAGCTTCTTTACAGAAAAGGACAAAAAGAGAAACGCCCAGCCTCGGATGCGCCACGCATGTGACTTCCACTAGGGAGCATACAAGTTTTTCGCCGCTATGATCTATTCAGTA